TGGGGGAGAAAGAGAAGGCTGGGATGTGAGTGCTTGCAATGAATGAATGGAGTCTCCACCCCCCTCCTCCCCTCCCCCCTTGCCCTGTCCCAGAGTCGGCACATGTCATTTGAACCCTACAAATAGTTTTAAACTGCTGGGTCAGAAAACAAGGCGTTCTGCGGTGGCCTGCAGGGTTTGCCTGAAGCCCATGATGCTGATACTGATTCCAGAGTGTGATCTGGGGGTCACAGGGCAGCATCCGGAGGAGGGGGTCGGAGGCTGGGGGTAAGGGGAGGGCCCAGAGGGGCCACGGTGACCGTGGGTGGCAGGGTGAATGGCCATGCTCTGGCCAAGCCCTGCCCCACTGGCCTCTGGGGGGCGCCAAGGTGGGTGGCAGCTGGCAGGACCCAAGGAAGGCTAGACCGTGGGGGCCAGCTGGTCTGAAGTCACAGGGCTACTGTTTTTCTCAGGACAGGGGTGTCTCTCGTAGAGCAGAAGCGGGGGGGGGGGGGGCAGGCCCAGCATGGAGCGTATCTGCACCCTGGAACCCCCACAAGGAGGGAAGCAAAGAGCCTACAGCATAGACATAATACTTGTAGGAAACACCCGGAACAGGTGAACGTGGAGAGAGAGGACTGGAGGCTTCCAGGGGCCAGGGTTACATTTATGATCTCAGTAACAGAGGCACCAGAGCCGTCCTGGCGTGGGGCTGTGAGCTGGTTCAGGATGGAGGATCTGGAGAGGCACTGATCTTCCCAGCTCCAGGGCAGTCCTGACCACCTTTCCCAAGCCCAGCTGGGAGAAGTGGAGTACGCAGGAAGCTGGAAGGAGGGGCAATCGTGGCTGCTCCAGCCCTTCCCAAGACGTGGGGAGATCCAGCTACCCCAAAGATGCTCTGATCTCCAGCTTGGGAAGAGGAGAGAGACAGGAGGTGGAGCTAGGTCAGCTGGGAGCAGCAAGTGCGCCACAGGGTCCAGGAAGAAAGCCTTTGTTTCTATCATAAACTCAAACACCCAATTTTGAAACATTTCCTAATCACTTTAGCTCAGTCAGGCTTTTTTCTGTAAGTAAACAGCAAATCCTCCCTTGGCCAGGATGATAATTGATTGGGTTTCTGCTCCCTGTTCAGTGTTCTTCCTCTGGGAAACCAGCTCTCTTCCCCTCAGACACTTTGGTTGGGGTGGGGATAGGGGATGAAACTGCAACTCCTTCCACACCAGGAGTGAGCTGTGGATCTAGGTTAGCCAATCAGACCTACAAAGGCTGTCCTACAAAATGACATATAATCAATGTAGGCAGTGAGATTCAAGCCTAGGAGTTGAGCTTGAATTTGGATTGAGAAATTCCCCCTTTAGCACAGGTGGCTAAAAAGGAACCACTCACTGTACAGAGAGCCTGAGAACACTGCCTGAAATCCTGGGATCTAGGCAGACCTGAATCCAAGATGTCCCTAGGTTTTTCAAATATTGTGATCTGCTAAATTCCCTGGGTAGCTTCTGCATTCTGTGCTTCAAACTGAGACTCCTGCTTGATAAGATCTATAAATAAATAAAATTCCTACGTCTTTATCTATGAGAAAGAGAGGTAGACCAGAAGGTATAGCCATGAGTTCTATGACAAAAATCGCAACTACATATATGCCCCACTCCATCAATCTGCAGGGCTCCAAACCCTGTTCCTATAGGCTCTTTCTCAGCTTCTGTGACTTGCAAATTTGGAATTCCACACCCATGTGTCGAGATAACCCCTAGACCTCACAAACACAGCTAATTTTACCTGCCTGCTACTTTTCTCTTGCTTTCTTTTTCACTGTGAATTTTTTGAGCTAGAAATTGCCACTATCCATTCTTCCTCCCTCCTTACCATTTAATGACACATGACTAACCCCAAATAAAGGTCACCTTTTCCAGACTCCCTTGCAGCTAAAATGTCTTCCCATGACCCAGCTCCAGTTCTCATTCTTACTGTGTCTTCCTGTGACAGGCCTTTCCTAGCTACTTTCTTCCATCTGAATTGCCTCTCCACATTTTTTTTTTTTTTTCATTTATACCATGATTGAAAGTCTAGGTCTGTTTCTCTCACAGAGTGTAAGCACCATGAGGGCAGGGACCGTGAACATTTCTTTTCTTCCCAACCAAACACACTACAAGGGGACAGAATTTTACTTGATAAATACTGAGTGAACCAATCAGGACAGTCCCTAATGTGGTGAGGCTCAGGAGGCCAGGCTTTTCTACTGTTTTGTTCAGTGGTCTGGGCATGGTGGGAAGGGCACAGCCTCTCACTTGTTGGATGTCAAATATTTGGTTTTTGTTTGTTTGTTTGCTTGTTGGTTGTGGGGCCTGAGCTCTGGGCCTGGGAGCTGTCCCTCAGCTATTCAGCTCAAGGCTAGCGCTCTACCACTTGAGCCACAGTGCTACTTCCAGCTTTTTCTGCTTATGTGGTGCTGAAGAATCAAACCCAGGGACTCATGCATGCAAGGCAAGAACTCTACCAGTGAGCCACCTTCCCAGCCCCTCAAGTATTTGTTAAAGGCAGGAAGGAAAATAGAATCAAACCAGAAATTCTGAACTGGTGGCCAGCGGCCAAATTCATCCTGCAGATATTTTTGTTTGGCCTCCAGTGTGTACCGAAAAAATGTGAACTTGTCGCCAACATTTAAAAACCAGGAGATTGCACAGACCAAAACAATCTATATTTCCAGCTCTTCTCGAAAAATCAGGAAGCCTGACCATGCCATGTTCCCATGTGTGGGCAATCAGCAGGGGTTGAGAGTCGGCAACCCTCAGGGGCCTGCCAGCCCGTCGATCCTCTGGGTGATCGTAGCTGAAGGACATAGGGGGCCATTGAACCTAAAGAGAATGGAGGCTCACAGGGAGTGACTTGTCCAAGAGAGAATGAGAGGACTTGGCTCATCTGCTTTATGTGCTCTTGGGAAATCTTCTAGAATCTTCCAACCCTACTCCAGCTCTTTTTGAGGTGAGAAAGGAGTATTTCTACTTGCCAGTTCCAATAAAAAGAGACCAAAGATATCAAGATAAAAGCTGACTGCCCCCAGTCCAGGTAGAATAGTTGGGGCTCCAAGGCTGCTGCTGGCCAGCCTTGGGGCACTGGGGCCTTGTCCCACATATACCGGTGTGTGCCGGTAGTCCTAGCTACTTGGGAGGCTGAGGTAGGAAGATCACTGGATCACGACATAGAGGGGACCCCAGCCTGGGCAGCATAGTGGGGCCTCAGCTCAAAAGTAAAGAGGGAAAGGGAAAAGGAGAGAGAGGGAAAAGATAAACAGCATTCAAGTTGCAAAAGGCATTCTAGAACATTCTAGATTCCAGCAAAGGTTTCCAGTGTGCTGCTCTGCTTGTCTCCTCTGATGTACCCATTCCTGCATACTCAGAGACCTTTACAGTTAGCATCAGAGATTGACCACATATTGATATCTGGGGGGCGCACCCCAGAAGAAGCCCCTGGCCCTGGACGGCAGGACCTTTGCAGGGAAGTTTCCTGGGTGGACACCTCGGGGGAGTATTCTGTATGACTTGTTCTAGGTGCCCACAGCACTGGCTTCTCAGAAACTGGCCTCAGTTCCTGAGTCAACGGCCCTCAGGGCATGGTGGGTGGGGCACCCTTAAGGAGGGGGCTGAGATGGGAAAGACCCAGGGCCCCCAGGGGATTAAAAGGAGGCTGGTGCTGTCCACCGAAGCTGTAGAATTTCCCAAGGCCCGCTACAGGGACAAGCTCGGAGGAGCGCCTACACCAGGGCCGGTGGAACACAGAGGGCAATGCAGCCCTGCAGCTCCTCCAGGTGACACCCCGCTCCCACACTGAGGTCTGCTCCTGTCACCCCTCACCTGAGCCACACCCAGCCCGGGAACCCACCCACCCGCCACCCACCACCCACAGGCGCCGGCAGACACACGAATGACGTTTCTGTACGGTGAGATTCCTGCACCCCAACACCTCAGCATCAGCTTCAGAGCCTCATTGCACCACGACAGACAATAAATCTAGCTCACTAATCACACAGCCAACTTGTTAAAACCCCAGTAAAAAGAAAAAGAAAAAAACGGAGCAGCTGGGAAAACCATGAGCTGATGTCAAATCTGCTTTCTGCTTTCTGCTTTTCCAGGCACTGGCAAGTCGCATGGAAGCCGCCTCAGCCCTGTGCCTCTGGGAAGATGCCCACAGACGTCTCCTGGCACCTCCCTTAGCCCCTGCACGTCCCAACAGCTGCATGGCAGACGCTGGTACCCCTCAAGGGCTCTGTCAGGAAATCTGCAGCACTGATGCAAAGAATGATGAGGTTTTGCTTGAACAGATCGGCTTGTTTTTTTGCTTCAAAGACTTGTGTGTATCACCAATTAGCTAGTCAATAACATTTGTCCAAAATTGTTTTTTTTTTTTCTCTTTATGAATACTAAGGTTTGAACTCACAGCTGTGTGACAGTGGGTGCTAGGTGGGTGTTCTACCATGTGAACCAGTCTGCCAACTTTTGTTTTAGATTAGTTTCCAGATAGTTTGTCCAAGCTTTACGCCCCAGCCAGCATCAGAATCCCAAGACTCTCAAGCTCTGTCCCGCAGCTAGCTGGGATTAAAGGTATATGCTACCCCACCCAGCTTGCTCAGAATTCTCTTTCTAACTGGATGGCTCCTAAGGATACGTTTGCAAAGCTATTGTTAAAGCCTCCCCCTCCGTTTCAGAAATACAGAAAAATGGATTTGCTGGGGACACAGAGATAGAGAGCAGGGAAGAAGAAAAGCACGCAACCTCATTTGCTTACACACTGTCAAGTAGTTGTTGGTTGTTGGGTTGCAGGGGGGGGCGGGGAGGGGCGGACAGTCGATGGGGAAGTGATTACAGTTTCACATGGCCAAGCCATTCTCACCCCTCGGCAGCTCTGACTGGAACAGCCTCCTAACCAGCCCCCACAATTCCCAGGGTAAACAGATTGAATGGATAGTCCCATGGGGGGGGGGGGGAGGAGAGAAAGAAAAGAGAGAAGCAAAATAGATTTCTTACCTTCCCGTATCTGGATGCAAACGTCCCCGTGAGTAAAGAGTGAAAAATAATTATTGTCTCGTCCAAGTCCCACACAAACACACGCTGCGACGGAGAGAGGAAGACAAGGGAGATAAATAGAGAGGCCGCCATCTGACTTCACGTCTGCAGAACTTCATTTCCTCGCGGGAAGGCAGGTCTTAAAACACATCATCTTTAAGTGATAAAACACACGGTTCCCGCACTGGTACCCCGGGAGGCGGCCTCCGGCCTCCTCTGCAAGATGAGTTCTCACGGCCAAGTGTGGGAGGCTCCAAGCAGCCCGACCCTGCCAGGAGCCGGCCAGCCTGTTCTAGCCTCCACATAAAAACTCAAAGCCAGGGGGCGGTCAGGCCAAAACCAACAAGAAAAATCACATAACTCTCTCGAAAATGCGAAATACTACCAAGCCGGTCCATTACTCACCACAAGCCCAACTATTTCTGGCCATTTCTACTTTTAGCAAATCTGTCCATCACTTCCACAATTCTTTTTTTTGGCAGTCGTGGGACCCGAACTCAGGGCCTGCGCACTGTCTCTGAGTTCTCTTGCTCAAGACTAGCTAGCGTTCTACCATTTTGTGCTACAGCACCACTTCCAATTTTCTGGTGGAGATAAGAGTCTCATGGATTTTCCTGCCCAGGCTGGCTTTGAATTGTGATCCTCACATCTCTGCCTCCTGAGTAGCTAGGATTGCAGGTGTGAGCCACCAACACCCAGCTATTTTTTTCTTTCCTTTCCTTTTTTTTTTTTGGTGGTACCAAAATGTCTTGTGTTTGCTAGGCAGGCTCTCTACCACTTAAGCTGTGGTCCCTTGCTTCCTTTTTGCTTTAGTTATTTTCCAGATAGGTTCTTGGATGTTTGCTTGGATGTTTGGTTTTATAACTGAAATGAAGTCTTCTGTGGCTTGATTTTACAGGCTGGTAAGCAGCATGAAGTGCTCATCTGGTGATTGCTGTGCACTGTGGGCTGGGATTTCACTGTGCGCCATGCCCCATCTCACATTTGCTTTAAGAATGACAGGTCGAATGGATTCCCTGCAAGCATCTTTCCTTCATCCTCCTGCACCCATCCTGATTAAAATAACGCCATATCTCCGTTTACTCACCTACAAATCATATCTGTCTGGTTTAACTTTCTGTTTTTGTCGGGTTTTTTTTTCCTTGTTGGCTATCACACCCTTTCTCATCTTAAATTAGGCACACCCCCTGTATGGAAGATGAGTATGCTGGGGGATTGATGGACTGCCCCCACACGGACAGACTATTATGGGGTTTGTGCAGAGATAGCATCCTGAGACTTTCCTTCAGTGTATTTCTGGGTCAGATGCACTATCTTCCAGACCCCAGGACGCTCTCTTTCTTGGTCTCCTTCCTTGTCTTACCTGAGTAAATCTTGTGTTGCTTTTTCTGAATGGTGCATGGAGTAATCATCCTGAATTCTTGCATAACTGCCATTTTGATTTTCTTTATGATCTCTGGATACAGAATTCCAATTTGAAAACAACATCCTCTGGATCCCCCAAAGAATTCCTTCACTGTTTCCTGGTGTCCAGTGGTGTTTTGTGGCCCTCCCTCCTGGTAGATTTCCTTTAAGGACTTTGTCTTTCCACTTGGAGTCCAGATTCCATTTCCGAGGAATCTCGAGCCTTTCTGCCAGCTCCTTTTGTTGTTGATTTTTTTTTTTTTTTTGCAGTGAAGGGGCTTGAACTCATGGTCCCACTAGAACTCTACCACTTTTAGCCATAGCACCACTTCTGGTTTTCTGGTGTTTAATTGGAGATAAGAGATTTACAGACTTTCTTGCCCAGGCTGGCTTTGAACCACAATCCTCAGATCTCAGCCTCCTGAGTAGCTAGGATTACAGGTGTGAGCCACCCAGCTGCCTGGATATTTTTTGAAAGAGGAGCTCACTTATTCCCCGGGCCAGTCTGGACGCCAAGCCAATTTGCATGTCTTCTCCTTGTTGCTGTGATGATAGACGCATGCATACCACTGCACCCAACCGTTGGTTGAAATGGAGTCTCAAAAACTTTTATGTTCCGGCTGGTCTTGAAAAGTGACCACTCCTCACCCCTTGATCTTCTCCTAAGTAGCTGAGATTACAAGTTTGAGCCACCACTCTTGGTGGAGACCGCTTCTTCTTTCTTTCTCTCCTCTTCCTCCTCCTCCTCCTCCTCCTCCTCCTCCTCCTCCTCCTCCTCCTCCTCCTCCTTCTCCTCCTCCTCTTCTCCTTCCTCTTCCTCTTCTTCCTCCTCCTCCTCTTCCTCCTCCTCTTCTTTTTCTTCTTCTTCCTCCTCCTCCTCCTCCCCCTTCTCCTCCTCCTCCTCCTCCTCCTTCTTCTGTTAGCCAGTGTTGAGAGGGAAAGTCTCTCCTGGAATAGACACTTTTCAAATTTCTCTGGAGGCTCATGCTATATGTATACAATGGCATGTGCTATGCTGTTAGAAGTAAAGAGAAGCTTCTAGAATACAAAAGGCAAATTCACCTCCTAGGTTCTCTAGTACAGAGGTTCGGGAAGCAATTAATAGAGCTGAAGTTTTTTGGTCTGGTGATATTTCTAATGCATGTGTGGGGTGGGTCATATATTGAGTATATTTCTTATTTTAAGTTCTATAAAGCCACTATCTTAGAAGAATCCTCCTGGGGTTCCAATATACTAGGTCTTAAAGCATCGGGCTAGATGGCTTGAATCAATTAAACTTAGAGATTTTAGCTATAGATGCTGTGTGTGTGTGTGTGTCCTGGGGCTTGAACTCAGGGCCTGGACACAATCCTTAAGCATTTTTTTTTTTTTTGCTCAAGACTAGCACTCTACCACTTGGGCCATAGCTCTACTTCTGGCTTTTTGGTGGATAATTGAAGATAAGGCTCCTGGACTCTTCTGCCTGGGCTGGCTTAAAACCAGGATCCTTGGATCTCAGCCTCACGCTGCTTCCAGCTAAATACCCTCAGGGCGTGGCTCCCAATGCCATCCTGCCTCACTCTGCTCCCCAGGCCCCCACACTTGGGAACACGTGTGTCCAGACCTTCTTTATTGCCGTGGGAAGACTGAAACCTGGGATCTAGAAAGGAAGTGTCTCTGAGGGTGGTGGGGGCTGTGTGGCTGTAGGAATGGAGGGACGGGGGTCTCAGAAGGGCAGGAACAAATAGTGGGTGTGCAGGAGGCCAGCTCTTCTCAGGACCCCTGTCAGTCCAGCGGGGTAGGGCCAGGTGGCTCAAAGGAAAGCTGGCTAGGCACTAGTGGACTGGTGCAGGGATACCATGCCTCTAGAACTTTCTCTGGCCTGTGGGAAGGGAAGGTACATGTGCATTTCTGTCCCATTCTAGTATCTCGTTGACTCTCTGCTGTACCCTTGTCCCTGGGCCTTCAAATAGTTCTGCTTTTTCACTTAGGCCAGCTCAAATCAAACCACTGCAGGCACTGAACCCACACTCACCCAGAATTTCCCTCCTTTCTACTTTATTTCTCTCTTGTGGGCTTCGCCCATGAACAGAAGTGCCAAACTCTTAGATGGTGCCATGCAGGCCAGCTCTCCTCGCTGACATTAAGCCCAGGGTGAAGCCAGGCTCACATTTCTTGGCTGTCCTCACCCAGTGGCACTCACTCTGGGATGGAGAAGCAGAAGCAGATGTTTCCAGAAGAATACCACCCCAAGGTCTCCGACTTCCACATCCCTCCCCCTCCCTTTTCCATCTCAGTTGCACGGAAACATGTCTCTCCTCTCCTACCCCTGGCCAGGAGCAGGAGTGAAGGTAGGTGACTGAATGGTTTTTTTTGGGGGGGGGGGCATTAATATTCGAGCAGCTTTGTGTTTTCTAGAGCTCGGCAACTTCAGCTGGCCAATTTCCTTCCTGCCTTTGGCCAAGATCCAAAGTCCCTGACAGAACTGAACAGGCTCTCCTCACTGGAGGATGTGTTCTTAAGAATGGGGGAAGCTAGGTGCTGACGGCTCACACCTGTAATTCTAGCTACTCACAAGGCTGAGAGCTGAGGATTGGGGTTCTAAGCCAGCCTGGGGAAGAAAAGTCGTGTGAGATTTTTAATAAGCAAAAAGTTGGAGTGTGGCTAAGGTGTGCCTAAAGTGGCAGAGCGCCAGTCTTGAGTAAAAATGTTCAGGGACAGCATCCTGGTCCCGAATTCAAGCCCCAGTACTGACACACAGATGCACACACACAAAAATTAAAAGCAAAAACAAAAGTGAAGGCAGCACACACAGTGGCACTCGGGGAGGCTGAGGTAGGAGGACTGCCCGGTAGAGGCCCAGCTGGTGTCCCACAGGGGGTTCACTAGTCATCAGGAATGAACACGGTGTTTGTTCAAAACGTGTCATGCCTTCTGCGGTGACCAGCACGCGGTGACGCTAGCTGCACATCAGCGGCCACTTTGCAGGGATCTCAGCATCTGGTGCATTCCCCTTCATTTGCTTTGTTGTTGCAAGTGTGGGCCTAGGCCTAGGCTGGCTGCGTTCTGCCTGGGCTACAGGAAGACGTGAAGGATAGACGCCTGCCTCCTCCCCAGGAATCTGGAGTGCTGCCTGAGGATTTAGGGTGCTGATTGAGGATAAGGTGATGGTGACATGTGTCTGGGTCAGGATCCAACCCGAGACCACAGAACACAGAAAGGCTGAAAAGGCATCTGAGATGCTTCCAGGTACCTGAGTATTTTGGAGGGGAGCGGGGGGAATCGTGGTGCTGGGATTTGAACTCATGGTCTTGCACTTGCTAGGAAGGCTTCTGGCCTGTATTTGCATTGGTTATCAGGACAGCCTGGCTGCAACCTTCTTCCTGTGCCTCCCTATGTCACCCGAGATGACAGGCCCGTGTCACTAAGCCTAGGCATTGTACTTCTCTTGTAGCCAAGACAACAAGTGGTCACTATGTACCTGCCACTGATTGAGATGGAGTCTCACAAACCATTTTTGCCTGGACTAGCATTGAACCACAATCCACTAATCTCGTCTTCCCAAGTAGCGTGATCCACCATGTCTAGCAGGCATACATTTGAAAGCCACCCCAGTCCCACCTCTACTCCTCCATCCTGTCACATCTTCAGAGGATCCAGGAGTGGGGGGGGGGGGGGGGCGGGCACCTGTAGTCCACAAAGCACTCTGAGGACTCTGCCACGGCACCAGGGGTTTGAACCACACCAGCCAATCCAGCTGAGCCTTGCCCCTTGCCTTTCCCAGGGGCTTGGGGCGGAGGGGCAGGGGCAGCGTGGGCATCGGATTCCCCTGGGCATCTGTAACACACACATGAACTCTGACCCCTGCCTACTGTAGACTTTGGGAAGGGTCCAGCAGGCCCACCAGGGACTCTGAGGCCACTGAGGCAGTGTCCCATCCATCCTGTCCCTCCCAGCTGCAGGCCGTCCTCCCCAAGCCTGCTCTCTCAGCATAGTTCCATGAGGCTGAGCTCTTTTCTCCCTGTCTCCCTGGGAGCTCACTTATCCCTGGCCACAGACATCTGCTCACCCTGCAGCCAGCCCTTCCTCACCTCGATCTCACTGTCCCCCGCTGGGGAGGGGTCACTGCTCCTCTTGGAGCGGCCCCGGAGCTTCCCGTCGGAGGCCCGAGGTGGCCTGTCAGGATCTCCCTCCTTTGGGGGTGTGGAAGGTACGTGGTGGGTGTTGAATTCACCTGGAGTAAGAAAGAGGATGGGGATGGATCAGAGGCCAGGCTGGGAGTCTCTCCCCAGGAAATATCACAGGGGTCCCCAATAACAGCCTCCAGCTCCAAAGAGGCAGACCCCATATACCGCCCCGGGGGGCAAAGGTCACAGGGTTAAAATCGTTCTTCACATGCCATTTGCCACAGTCACCATCTTCCCTCCACCCATAAAATATTCACCATGCCAGCATGCTGACGCTGTCCCGCGGCACTGGGGATCCCAGATCTCACCACACCTACACACATTACACAAATGAGCTGCTACGTATTGAAGGTCTCAGAAGTGAAGGAAGCAAGGGAGGGGTCTCTGGGGAGCTCTAATTAACTTTATGTAATGATCTTCATATCTGGAGTCTGAGTGAGAGCCCCTGGACAGAGACAGAGACTGCCGCGTGGTGGCACACAGCACGGGCCTAAGTGTCACCACTCCCCCTGGACAGAGACAGAGACAGACTGCCGCGTGGTGGCACACAGCACGGGCCCGGGTGTCACCGCTCCCTCTGCATCAATTTACTTCTGTGTTTCTGTCTTCAGATTTCATTGATTTCCATTCTGACCTTTGTTATGCCTCCCTTCTGTTTGCTTTGGGTTTAAATTCTGTTTGCTTTGGGTTTAATTTGCCCTTCTTTCTCTTTTGGTACCAGTACCAGGGCTTGACCTCACAGCCTGGGAGCTTTCCCTTAGCTTTTCCAGTCGAGGCTAGCACTCTACCGCTTGGGCGACACCTCCATTCTGGCTTTTTGCTGAGTAACTGGAGATAAGAGTCTTACAAACTTCTCCATCAAGGCTTGGATCTCAACTTCCTGAGTAGCTAGGATTACAAATGTAAGCTACCAATGCCTGGCTTTTTCTAGTTTTTTTTTTTCAAGTGTAAGATGAGGTTTTTGGCTTGTAACCTCTTTTCTTTTCCTTCCTTCTTTCCCAACCTTCCTCCCTCCCTCCATCCCTTCCTCCCTCTCTCCCTCCTTCTTTCCTTCCTTTCCATCCTTACTTTCTTTCCTGGTCCTGGGACTTGAACTCTGGGCCTGGTCACTGTCCCTGAGCTCCTTTTGCTCAAGGCTAGTGCTCTACTACTTGAGCCACAGTGATTAACTGGAGATGTGTCTCATGGACTTTCCTGCCTGGCTGGCTTCAAATCATAATCCTCAGATCTCACTCAGCCTCCTAAGTAGGATTACAGGTGTGAGAGCCCAACTTATAACCTATATTCTTTTCTAATGTTGGTATTTAGTTTCCTTTTAACTATTGCTTGATGACTTTCCATAAATTCCAAAATGCTGTGTTTTCATTTTCACTCAATTTAATGTACCTTTAAATTTCCTTCTCATGCTTTCTTTGACTCATAGATTATGTGCAAGTATGTATTGAGCTTCCAAACATTTGGGAATGTCCCAGAAGTATTTCAGCTATTTATTAGTAATTTAATTCTGCTGCTGTCAGAGCACACACTTTGACAGCTTTGACTCTGCTGTACGTACGGAAACTTGTTTTATGGGCCTGAAGAGGAGACTGTCTCAGTAAGTGCTCCATATGCTCCAGATGAGAATGTGTCCATGCTGCTAAAGCAGGCTCCAGATCCCCGTTTCCCACAAAAACGGGCATCAAACTGCACTTACACTCACAGAAAAACTCAAGCTCAAATTTACATGAGGTTCTGCATCTTTCTCAGCTATGATAAGAGTTCACAGAGGATGTATTAGCACAGATATGTCTCTAAATCACATTTTTTTTCTTTTTGGCAGTACCAGGGATTGAACCCAGAGTCTCACTCTTGCTACACAGCTGCTTAACCACTGAGCTATAACTCCAGTCAATTTCTGCATTGGTTATTTCTGAGATAGGATCTCATTTCCTTCCTGAGTATATGCCCAGATTGTGATACTCCTGATTTTCAGCTTCTTGCAAAATCTGGGATGATGTATCCACAATCATGCCCAACTTCTTCTGTTGAGGAGACTCAGGGACTTCTCTGCCTGGGCTGGAGTGGAATCACAATCCTCCTGATCGCTACCTCTCATGCAGCTAGGATGACGCGTGTGCTACTGTGCTTGGCTTACCTGGCTCTTGTGTGTGAGTGGATGTGTGTGTGTGTGTGTGTGTGTGCGCGCGCACTAGTCCTGGCTTGACCCCAAGATCTAAGCACTGTCCCCAAGCTTCTTTTGCTCAAGCCTAGTACTCTTAATACTTGAGCCACAGCGCCACTTCCAGCTTCTTTGGTAGTTTAGTGGAGCAAAGAGTCTCATGGATTCCCCCATCCAGCCTAGCTTCGAACTGTGATCCTCAGATCTCAGCCCCCTGGGTAGCTAGGATTACAGGCATGAGTCACCAGTGCCAGGCAAAAGTTTTCCACTTTTAAACATGGATGCAACACACACACACGCACACACACGCACAGAGATTAAAACATCTGAGGATGGAACCCACTCCTCCCAGTGGAAATGTGGGTTCAGGCCCCTCCTTCCTCGGGGGGCTGAGACCACTGCTGTGGAGGACGGCCTCAGTGACAACCTACCTGCCAGCGGCTCGGATCCCTGGCTGGGGACACTGTGAGGAGCATCCTGGAGGACATAGGTGGACGTGGAGAGGGGTGATGGGCAGATGCTGCTGGCAGGGACATAGGGGGCGTTGTAGGACGCACTGTAATACTGGGGGTGCTGGCTCTGAGCGAAGCTGGGGTAGGAGGGATAGTCCTGAAAGAGAAATCGAAAACCAAGAAGGAGTGAGTGCGGGGGGGGGGGGGGGCGGTGAGTGGGGCTGGCGGGGTTGGCCACCATGTCTCCTAGGAGACTAGAAGCCCTGGGGCAGTAGGGGCTGTCCCTGGCCCCATCTGGGCTCTCAGAGGCAGACCCCAAGAGCAGGGGTGGGAAGAGTAGATTCAGGAGTGGGGGGAAGAGAAGTGGGTGGGCACTGGGCATCACTTCTTCCGAGGGTGTGTGTGTGGGGTCCCGCCAAGAGGGAAAAGCCCATCCAGGTCTGCCTCTTTGCGGGGGGGGGGGGAGATGGGGGGGGTTGGGGGGGCAGAGCACTGGAGCTCTGGCATGTCAGCCCAGTCCTTCCTGAGGCTACTCCTGGACCGCCCCTCACTGGCACTCCCTGCCTGCCCTGTGTATGCAGCCAAGGCAGCAGAAGGTCAGCAGGTGACCCTGCTGGACAGGAGTGTGTCCCTAGCAACAAATACATCTTCAGTAATTCCATAAATATGAACTAAATCAAGGAACGACAAAGACTGCCAGGAGACTACCTATGCCGGGAGGTTGCAATTAAGCCAAACAGATGCACACAGACCTTCCCTGCAGAGCATCAGCATCTATTCAGAAGTCACGGAGCCCAATTCAGTCATACCATTCACTTTGGTCAAGCTTAGCAGTGGTCACAGGCTCTCCCCGGTCCCCATCAACCAGGCTATGCCCACCTGGCCACCACTGGCCAGCAGCCAGCGGCTGTCCACCTCAGGGGACACACCTAGAAAATTCATGGTCCTGGGCTCAGCCCAGGCCTAGGGAGTCAGATCTCCAGCGGACTTTGCTGCCAGAAGGTCTTATGGTAAAATGGATAAACATTCAGAATTAGGAACCCCTTCTGAAGCACTGTTCCACTTGTAAGCATTTTATCTAAGCTGGCTAGATTTTCAGTTCACTGGATATCTACAAAAATCTTTCACACAGCTTTTGTATTTTCCAAGTCAAGTTGTTCAGATTCTTCGGTCCAAGATTAACTAGAGGACAGCTCAGATTTACATGAACCTTTTGTTTAGAAATAATTTTAGACTCACAGGACAGGTATGCATGGAGTAGCTGGCGTGCCCACACACCTCTCCCTCCCCCCCTTTTTTTTGGGGGGGGTTCCGGTCATGGGGCCTGAACTCTGGGCCTGGGCACTGTCCCTCAGCTCTTCAGCTCAAGGCTAGCGCTCTACCACTTGAGCCACAGCACCACTTCTGGCTTTTTGCTTTTTTTTTTTTTTGCTTATGTGGTGCTGAGGAATCGAACCCAGGGCCTCATGCATGCAAGGCAAGCGCTCTACCACTGAGCCACCTTCCCAGCCCCTTCTCCCTTCCCTTTTTGAGAAGGGTCTCACTATAGAGCTCAGGATGGCCTTGAACTCGCCATCAACACCCTCCTGCCTCCAAGGGCTGGGATTATGAGGATTAATTTTTTTTGGGAGGCGGGGTTCTAGGGTTTGAATTCTGGGCCTCACATATGCTAGGGAAGTACTCCACGCATGAGCCTCTCCATCAGTCATTTTTGTGTTGGTTGGTTATTTTGAGGCCTAGGCCAGCCTGGACTGCACTCCTATTTTTGCTTCCTTGTGTTTCTGGGATGACAGGTGAGAGCTTCTGTGCTGAGCCGATGTGCTTACCCCATAGCTGGGATGAGCATCCATCAGCATGCAGTTATTGAATGAGATGGAGCCTCATAAACTTTAACGTCTAGGCTGGCCTTGAACCATGATCCCTGATCTCTACCTCCCAAATGATTAAGATTTTAGCTTGAGCCACCATGCTTGGCCCTATGCTGGTGAATTTTAACAGACACTCTAAGGGAATGGAGGGAATTGCAATGATGGTCAATATCCAACTGGCTTTGGTTGGTTTTACTGCATTCGTGAAGCCCATGCTCTATGGGGTCTCAGCACAGGGTGAGGTCAGCAAGACACCACTGCCTGGTGAAGCCCAGGCTCTGGAAAAAGAACATGCTTATACTCACACGGTTCACGCTTGCCTGGGGCTCAGGGCAGGACCAGACATCTTGGAGGTGTTCTTAGTAGATCCTTCCACTGGCCTTTTGCACAATCTGGCCCTTGGAACCTCCAAAGCCAGAGCCGAGGCCAGTTTCTGGTGGGGACAGTGTGTGTTTGGGGGAGCTGTGGAGTGTACCATGTTGGGGAGCACGGAGAGGAAGAAACCAACAAACCTGGTGCATGCCCCCGAATCCAGCTGCATTGCCGAGCCCGTTGGTGCCTTGATAAAGCCCTGCCGTGCCTGCAGGGGACAGGGAGACAGGGGACTGGTGAGCTTTTTCCTTCAGGGAGGGAGTAGGAGGAGTGGCAAAGCCAGGTGCCACCCTGAGACCGGAGGCCATGAGAAAGAAAAAAGTGGCACACACAGCACAGTCTGACTCTTTGATAAGAATTTGTTGTTGTTGTTGTGGGTTGTGGGTTTGAACTTAGGGCCTAGGCTCTGTCCCTGAGCCTCTTTTGTGTTCAAGGCTAGCACTCTACCACTTGGCCATGGTGCTACTTCCAGATTTTGAGTGGTTAATTGGAGATAAGAGTCTCACAGGGACTTTGCTGCCCCAGCTGGCTTTGAACAGTAATCCTTAGATCTCAGTCTCCTGAGTAGCTAGGATTACAGGCATGATCCACTGGCACCAGGTTTGATAGGAATATTTTTAATTAATGGTTTACTTAAAAAAAAATATGGCTGGATGCGGTAGCTCATGCCTGTAATTAATTCTAGCTCCTCAGGATGCTGAGATCTGAGGCTCATGGTTCAAAGCCAGCCCGGGCAGGAAAATCTGTGTGACACATCTGCAACTGACCACCAAAAGGCAGGAAGTGAAGCTGTGGCTCAAGTGGTAGAGCGCCAGCCTTGAGCTATAAACAGCTCAGGGCCAGTGCTCAGGCCTCTGAGTTCAAGCCCTAGGACTGCCACACATACACAAAAAAAATTATGGTAAAATGCATGTGACATAAAACTTCCCCTCTTAACCATTTTGAAGGGCTTATTTTGGTGACTTTAGGTCCATTTCCATTGTTGGGCAAACATCTACCTCAGAGAACATTCTACCATGCTGAATATTGCCGAAGGAGAAACAGAGCATTGCTCAAATTTAAGTCACAAAGCAAACCTTCTGGGGCCTGAAAAGCATGTTAATCTCCTATTCTGAAATAATCTGAGGTTGAAGGAAAGGTATACAAGGTATACCTTATATGTCTTAAGGTATATACCCAGAGGTCTCATGCACTTGGATACGGTAATTTTTTTTCTTTTACTTTGCCACAGAGCTCTGAGATGAGCCATAAATGATGAGACACAAACTTGTTCCCAGCAAAGAGCATCAGGAAGCAATAAAAAAGCAAAGGCCCTAACAGTGCAAATGAGCAGGTTGGAAATGCAGGACAACAGCCAGTGGGAAAGGAGCTAGACAGAAGTCACTGGCAGGCACGGCAGGCACCATTCTCAACTCAAGGGGAAGGAGATGGAAGGGCTCAGGGGCTGGGGCCAGCCACATGCAAGGATGAGCCGTCTGGGTAGAGTCTGTTCCCAGCCCTGCTGCATCTGATGATCTGTTCTGCTATGGTTCTCACATGGCAAAAGCAGCCACTGTTACAGTTAGTTCAGAGAGCTTTAAATTGGTATCATTGTGCAAGTATCCTCAGGATCTAGACTTTGAGCATTTCTACGCCCATCCCCATTCCCAAGGGTCCCAAAGGCCTGTTTGTAGTCAGTCCCCTCCCCTACCATCAAGTCCCTGCTGGACTGTTACTGATTCAATACAAGCGTTTCTAGAAACTTACGGAACGGGGGTCACGCAGTATGCATATGTACTTGTGTCTGGCCGTGTTCACTTAGCAGGATGCTCTAGAGGCTCTTTATGTTGCTGGGTGTATTGATACTCTGTTACTTCATTTGCTAGGCTGGTGGGTGCTCTACCACTTAGGCCTCACTCTCAGCCCCAGCCCTGTTTGTCACTGGTTATTTTTGAGAAAGGGCCTCACTTCCTGCCCAGGAGTGAACCTGGGTACAGTCCATCTATTTTGGGCTTCTCATCCTTGCTGGAATGTCAGGTATACACTACCACATCCACCTTTCCTATAGAGAAATGGAGTCTCCTGAACTTTTCTGATCTGGAACCATGATCCTCACAATCTCAGCCTCCCAAGTAGCCAGGATTACCACTCTGATTAGGCCTTTTGTACAGCACCTGTTCACACTAGAACTTGAGGCCCAGGAATGCAACTTGCCCAGAGTCCCAGACCTGATGTTTATTGTTTTATTCACTCATTAATTCAAGCAAACTAAACATGCTGGTCTCAGGGGAAATGATTCGGATGACAGCAGATTTCTTACCCTAGACTATGAGAGCTAGAGAGAATTGGCTCAAGTGCGTATGGAAAGAACCATCAGCCCAAAATTCTGTTTCCAGAGACAACAAACACCCTAACTGAAGGGAAAAACCAAGGCATTCTTAAGAACCTGAACAGCAGATCTACCCCCCCAAAAATTGGTACAGGGAGTTCTTGAGGTTAAAAGAAGATAGCCAAAAAGGAAAAGCCCTTATGGAAGAGAGTAAAACATGAGTAAATGAAGATACTTCAGCTCATTCCTCTCTGTATTGACATTGGCCATATCTGATAGCCAACTTGGCCATCAAATTTGTGGCTATCCACCCATCTCATCGTTGTGTAAAACACTTGCCCGGGTCCATAGTCAAATCTCCCTAGTCTTGTGTTGGGTAGTTGCTGGAAGGACATGGAGAATTTTCCAATCAGCTGCCACCCTCATGAACTTGGGGGCACTTTATAAAAAGGGCCCTAAATTCTGACTGTGAAGGAGGAGGTCAAGGAAGGCCTCCCGAAGGAAACAGCCTTGAAGTAATGTCCAAAAGAGAAGAGGAAGCTGTGGGGAAAGAGAACAAGGAGGCGCATGACTCCAATGGCCTTCGGTCTCTATCTCACGATGGCTGTATGAAGGCCCAGGAAGTTCACAGTGCCTATCCCAGTGCCATAGGCTGGGGTCCCACCCCATCCTCAAGGCTTGCCCAGACACAAGCAACAGCAGGTCTACACTAGCCTCTTTCACTCAAGGTGTCTCTTTGGTCCCAGTTACCATGGCAAAGCTGTGTACCAAAAATGAGAACTCCTACCCTGGGAAGACCTCTGGATGTGTGGTTGTCTTGTTTGTCAGCTTTTACGGTGCTGACTTAGGGCAGGGTAAGAATGTGAATCTCATGTGGCCAGCGCTGCTTTTCCAAGAGAAGCCAGAAATCTGGATTTCTATGCAGGATACCCCAAGTTTTAAATGAAGATGATATATATAAATAAAGATGACATATATAAATGAATTGGAGAGAAAAAGAACAACAACAACACACACACACACACACACACACACACACACACACACACACACACACCCCACCACCATCACTACCCCTACAGCTGCAGGTGTGGTCCAGGTCCACAGGTCTCTGTGCTGTGACCTTGAGTTAAGGAAGGCAGAACAATGGAAGACTGTCCTGTCCCTGGTGTGACACATTCCGCTACACAAAGGCCCAACCTCAAAGGAGCTCAGGACCCAGACAGTGGACCTTGTGTGGGTTTGCAGAATCACAGCCAAACTTCCAGTTTGTAGAATGCTCTAGAGGACTGAGATGAAACTTTCCCAGCCTCCCAGAGGGGGCGTCTGGAAATGAAATTATGTGAAAACTCAGAAAATAAAGTTGATTCCAGGGTGATAGCCTTGAGTTTGCAGACTGAGCTGCACAGTATTGTGTTCTGCCTGTTGTCACCCAGCAAGGAGTGGTGACCCCTCCTGCCTGCAGGTGGAGGCTCCTCAGCCTGGACCTCCCCTCTCTTTCCCCCTCTTTCCCCTAGAGGCCCCCCCCCAGCAGGGTGCTGTGAGGACCCCCTGGCCTGTGTCCTTGGGCTGATTTGATCCTGATCTAACCCAGAGCTCGTTGCCCCAAGGCTGGTTAGGAATTCCAGTGTCTGCCCCCCCACATTTTGCAAAGCCGCCTGATGAATTTGACCCTCCTGATAGGACTCACACAAGCTTGAGTACATTCCATTTCTGTTACTGGTGACTCTGAATGTCCCCTTCTTGATCTTCTGTCGTCTGGGTGGCCTCTGCCGACCATGACATGGGAGACTCTCCTCTCCTCTTCTAGACAGGCCAGGCTTCAACTTTCATCCAAGCCCTTGAAAGCCTTTCAGCCATCAGCCATTCACCCATTGTTAAACAAATAACACCTGTTTACCCAGCACTCACCCTTCCCCAGGGGCTGATGGCTACACACACTTTGTCTGTGACCTCTCCCCCACCCCCCACAAAGCCCCAGGGAGCAGGGAGGGCAGGTCCCCTGGAGGCCTCAGCCCAGCTCCAAAGCTCAGGTGCTCTGTGGGCTGAGTCCTACCTGTGGGGCACACACAGCACAGCCACCTAAAGCTATCCCTCCCCCTCCCCCGCCATGGTGACATGGGATAGCCTCAGGGATAACCCAGCAATAAGCACCCTATGTCAGTTGTGCCTGTACTGGGCCCACAGCAAAGGGAGGCCCGTCCTGTCCAGTCAGGTCTGTGGTGACTCCCAAGAGCATGGATCCTCCAACTCAGCCAAGTGTGACCACTGCTGGAAGCTGGAGGACACCAGACTGCACACGGGCAAGACCCGTGAGAAAGAGCTGGCAGAGAGGAGGCAGTAGGCAAGGCACAAACAAGCCAGAGCAGGCAGAGGCGAGCCTGACAGGAAGCCACGCCCACCCAGGTGCCCTAAGTAGTCCGCATTGAAGAGGGGCAGGTGGCAGGGCAGACCACAGACCCCCATGGGCCGCCTCCTCCGTGTCTTCTCCTTACCCAGAACTCACAGCGGTGGAGGCCCAGGCAGGCAGGCAGCTCAGCCCCCCTCGTCCCCCAGCCTCGTTCCACCATGTTGTGTCCAGTGAGCACCCATAACAGGCCAGCACAGGGCATGCTGAGAAAGGGCAGCTGCCTTCTAGGTGAAGACATTTGGTGAGCCCCGGGTGACTTTTCTTTTCTTTTTTTTTTTTGTCGGTCGTGGGGCTTGAACTCTGGGCCTGGGCGCTGTCCCTCAGCTCTTCAGCTCAAGGCGAGCGCTCTACCACTTGAGCTACAGCGCCACTTCCGGTTTTCTGATGGTTTATTGGAGATAGGAGTCTCACGGTCTCTCCTGCCCGGGCTGGCTTTGAACCGCGATCCTCAGATCTCAGCCTCCTGAGTAGCTAGGATTACAGGCGTGAG